GTCTCATGATATCTTTTCTTTTCTTTTCTTTTTGTGGCCAGCTCAGCCTACTCTGGGAGCAGGGCTGGTGCAGCATGTGGTACCAGGGATCAAACCATGGTCCCTGCATGCTTGCCTAAGCAAGTGTTTTAGATCACTGAGCTATCTTGCTGGCCCTTTTATGATATTTTTACAAAATAAAAGTTAAATTTATTGAAGTATCTGGTCCCTAGGAATACTAGAAAAAATTTTTTTGAAATCTATTGTTAACAGTCCTTATTTTAACTTGCATTTGTATGAAAGTTGGAAATCACAATATTTTCCAAATAGTTTTATAAACTTGAGTTTTGCTGCCTTTCTTTGGCATTAATTGGAGAAGATGGTTGCCACCATCTCTTGGTAGTAGTGATGGTGGCAACTTTAACTCATTCCCTCTGCCTCAGATCTGAAAGGGGATTACAGAAAACAGCAGTAATCTTAATAATAAGCATGGTAATATCCTCTTCTGTCATGATAACTTAATCTTATATCAGTCACTTTCTTTGAAATCACTCTTCTTGTCCTCTTTTAAATTAGTAATTATTGGAAAAATGAATATTTTCCTCCTTTTTAAATTTTATTTTTGATTAAGTGTCCTTGCCAGCTACCACATAAAATTTTCTATCATGAACTAATGCTTTAGACAACTTGTTCATAAAAGATGAAAAAGGAATGAAAAAGGGTCTTAATGTAGTCATGGATTCCCAGATGCACAATTTCTGTACCAAGATTGAACAAACTATATTAGCAAAGAGTTTGAATAAGTCCTTAGAAATGGTGTTTTTCTTTTCACTGTAGTACATAGAGTACTTTTCTCTACCTAGGGGTTTTGGAGTTTATTAAGAAAATGTTTATACTCATTATACTATATAATTCACAAGTCAGTTGAGTGAAGATGTAGAAAGCAAATTGCAAGTTACAAAAACATTAGTATTAGTACTTTACTACAACCATGTTTGGCTGAACCTCTCAGGAGAAACCCTTCAATGATGTTTTAGATAATGAGGAAACTGCCCTGGCTGCTTTTAGGGGAAATAAACAAAAATTGTCCTTCAGTTTTCTGTAGGGACAAGAAAGGTGCTACAGGGACCAGGGAGCTCTTTGTTGAATTACCCATGCTTTTCTGTCTGTATATCGGGATTTTATAAAATCTCATTCAACGACTAAAAGCACAGAATTGTTAAAGGAGACTTTCAACAATTAAAAAAACAAGCATGTACTTTTTAGACAGCCTTGGCCAAATGTTACAGGCTGAGTATGGAGTATTAAAAAATAAAAAAAAAAAAAGACAAATGAGTTTTGTCATTATCTTTTAAACTATTGCCATGAGTTTTAAAGCAATATTATCACAGTGTCATATATGTTTTGTTTACCTTTTTTCTTTCAATCACCTGAACAACTATTTATGATGACAAGAGTTTTATTCTGTGGAACCATAGAAATGAAATTATGTTGGTTTTTGTTCATCTAAGAGCTTTTGCATCTTTGTGTAGAGCTTACCTGTCACCTAAGTCCACAAAGTAAATGCAGAGGCAAGACAAAAAGACCCTACCCAGATAGTAAGGAGCCAAAATTAAAATTTTTTGACCTTTCTCCAGTCAAAGATTGGTTTCTCCCATATAGTCAGTATGAGCAATTTCTATGTTTTTTGTTTTTTGTTGTTTTTTTTTTTCTTTTTTTGCAGAATCAGGGGTTGAACTCAGGCCCTTGCACTTGCCAGGGAAGCACTTATTATACTGAGCCATCTCCCTGGCCCCTAATTTCTATGTTAAAGTATTGAATTTCCTCATTAATTGTTGCATGATGTGAATGTAAAAATTGATTCTTTCAGCAGGTGGGCTATTGCTTGCCTGTGATCCCAACACGCAGGAAAGTGAGGCAAGAGCATCACAAGCTTGAGGCCAGCCTGGACAGCATAGCAGATTTAAGGCTGACCTGAACTCGACTATGTAGTTGAGACTTTGTCTCAAAAAACAAAATAAGACCAAAAAAAAAAAAAAAAAATCTATTCATTCACTTTTTTTTTATTTTTTAAAGATGTTTTTAATTGAATTAATGAGATAAAAAGAGAGTGAGGCCCAGTTTGCTACTTACATGAAAGAAGATATTTAAAAATAATCACTGCACAAAATACAAAGGGTATAGTTATGCTGTGGCATTAAATTTTTCTCCATGTTTTTCCTGGCTGTTCAAGAGCAAATTAAAGTTTCCGCAGCAAATTTGTTTTCAAAATGCCAAATTGTGACACAGTTGCTGGCTTCATGTTTCTGAATACCTTTAATAGTTTCTCTGCGCTGCAATTTGTAAGTTTCCTTGTCCTGGCACAGTCAATAAATAAAGAAACCCAAGCCATCAATATTTTCAATTCGATCAGTAATAACCATGTGTTCATGAATCAGGTATGATTGAGGCAAATAGGTACCAGCCTTGATGTTAATGAGTAACTCCAACAGGTTTCTGGGAGGCATAACAATGGAAGTATTCAGGGGGATCACATAGCGCTTATCCAGGTTAAGATCTAAATAGGTAGTGAGTTTCTTGTTAAAATCATGAACAATGTTGGCAGGATCACTATCTGCAAATTCTGGAACAGGCACACTGATGAATTCGTCCTCATCTTCTTTAAAGATCTTAATATTTTCTTCAGTTGTCTGGTAGTGAGCAGCTGGGGCGTCTGCAGAAGGCTCATTTAGGATGACATCATCTTTGATGTACTTTATTCCACAGTAGTACACGTCATCTGGTTGAAGTGCAAAATATTTGTACAGGTATGCTCCTCCAAGAATGACTCCTGCAAGCATAAATGCTAGTCCAAAGCACATGCACCAACACCAGGCTCTTCTCTGGCAACTGGTACTACATCATCTAGGTCCTTGCAGTCCAAGGCAACAGCGTCCGGGGGGATGATGAGTGCCTCCTCGCCGCTCTTCGGCTCGTCCTTCTTGGCATCCTTCTGGGCCAGAGCCGAGTTGAATGTCACCTACACCATGATGCGGCCTGGGGCGCCCCGGAGCAGGCTGGAGGCGCACGCTATGGGCTCCAGGCTGCAACTGCAGCCTCCTCGACCCTGCTGGGGTTGCGACTCCGTGGACGCTGATGGGGTCGGGTGGCTGTGCAGTGGCTGAAGCTTTTCATTCACTTTCAGAAGATAGTTGTAGCATTTTTTCTTTTTAGTTCAGTGCAAATAGAACAGGTTGTTAAACTTCTTCTTGATCTGATTTGATAATTTGTATTGTAGCTGCTTAGGAAATGAAACCCATATATTTGAAATTTCATTTTATAAAGTCATGATTACTTACCATTGTCCCTCAGTATTGAAGCCTAAGACACTACTAACTCTAGACTCAGTTGTCTTACATTTTGCATTGATAGCTCTTATTAATAACCTTTTACATCTTGTTGATAACTTTTATATCTACTTTTAGACACTTAGTTTCTTCCGAAATGTATTAGGAGGTATTGTTACCTGAATCGACATATATCATTCTATTTTTTAAGAATTCTTGATAGTAACTTGTACTGTAACGTCATGTACCTCGGTAGTGTCCTAGATTTTCTGATCAAGAAGGTTATGGGGCCAAAGAGGAAATCGATCGATGACGTGGAGTGTGCCTAAGGAGAGTCACATGAGGAGAAGACACTCTCTCAGGCTTTCACAGAGAGCACATTGGCCAAGCAATGGCCGTGACTCATCCACATGGCTGCACTGACAAAGGTTCTACAATCTGAGGTACAGGATCTCAGGATAAATCCTGAGGGCATTTCACTGACCTTCTCAAACCAAAAAGCTACAACTCTTGTTGCATAGGTTCTGCTTTACCTTGGTCTTAACCATCCAGTAGAAAAGTATGAAGATGAAATATAGGAAGTAAAGCCATGTTGTTATGTTGAGCTGTGGGGGACTCACGTCAATAATTTCTGACATTGCCAATTAAACAGAAGACCCAATGCTATTATGGGCTTCTGTACTCTTTTAGAATATTTTGCTGAGTTTACACACCTATAATATTCAACAACGGAACTTAAAAAAAAATTGGGGTATAACTATGAATGTCCATTTTGTATCTGTGTATTCAAAGTGGTTGGGATGGATATATAGTTGTATTCTCTTAATGAATAGAATGATTTTTTCTAATGGTGTTTGTAAGTAGGATCACAAGTCTGCATGTTGTACAGCAATTAACCACTAAGAAGAATATATGCAGTGTATTATTTGTTGAAACTGTACTTTGATTTGATTTGAAACTGTCTCATTGCTATATGTTTATCAATAAAACTTTGAAAAGAAAAAAAAATAAAAAAAATAAAAAATAAAAAAAAGAATTCTTGATAGTGCTTACTGTTTAACTCAAGGTTGGGATAGAGAATTTAACATTCATATGACATAGGAACAGTTATCTTGAGTACACTGACATATCCAAGCAACTTATTTTTTAAAGACAGTACAAATTAAAATTAAAACAGAAAAATTTACAAGTGACACAGAATTTCACTTAAAGTAATAGGAATTTCACAGTGTTTGTTGTAATACACAGTGTTGTCTTCCAACCAGTTATTCATATGACCATATATATGCATGTAAAATTGAAGAAGAAAAAAAAGAAAGAAATGTATAAGGAATAAAGAAGAGAAAGCATACAATTGAAAAAAGGAGATGAAACAAATTAAAGCATTAACTGCTTCTTTCCATAGACCAGCAGAAATGCACAGTACAGTTGTCCAAACCATCCTGCTTGCATACATAGATACATCTCCTTTCCCTGGTCCTTCTCTTGTCCTTCTCCTCAACTCAGTAAGTCTTTACTTTTGAATAAGTTTGTTCCCTTTTCTCAATATCTATTGTACCCTTTAGATTCCATTTTTCTCTTTCAAGTTCTCACACTAAGGAGACAATAGGATGCTTGCATATGTGAGTCTGATTTATTTCACTCACAAGTATGTTCTCCAGTTGCATCCATTTACTGACAAAAGACTCAAATTTATCCTGTTTTATAGCTAAATAATGCTCCATTGTGTAAAAATACCACATGTTCTTCATCCGTTCTTCAGTTGATGGGCATCTGGGTTGTTTACAGGATTTAGCTATGGCAAATTGTGCTGCTATAAACATGGGTGCATATATATTGCTGTGGTATGAGGTTTTCAATTCTTCTACAAAAATACTCACAAGGGTAATAGCTGGCTTGAATGGAACCTCCAATCCTAGCTTTTGAAGGAATCTCCATACTGATTTCCATAGTGGTTGTACCAGTCTGTACTCCTAACAACAGTACAGAGGGTTCATTTTCTTCCACAGCCTCTCCAGAATTTGCTATTGGCTGACTTCTTGATGTTAACCATTCTTTCTGGGGGGAGATTGAATCTCGGTGTTGTTTTAATTTCATTTCTCAAATGATGAATGGTGTTGAGCATTTTTTTTCATATATTTGCCATTTGTATTTCTTCCTCTGAGAAGTGTGTATTTATCTTAGATGCCCATTTTTGGATTGGGTCTTTGAATTTAGGGGTGGTGCCTGATTACTTTTTAAATATTTTTATATGTTCTAGATAGAAGGTCTTTGTTGGAGGGACAATCAGCTATAATTTTTTCCCATTTTGTGAGTTCTGTGTGTGTGTGTGTGTGTGTGTGTGTGTGTGTGTGGCCTGCTCAGCCTACCCTGGGGGCAGGACTGGCACCACATGCCAGGGATCCAACCATGCTCCCTGAGCTTGCCTAAGCAGGTGGTTTAGTTTGCTGAACTATCTCTCCAGCCCCTAAAAGGAAGGGTAGCTTTGCATTTTTTGTTTTTGTTTTATTTGGTTGTTATACAGCTTGGACTCATGGTGATCCCCCTGTTTTCAGCCTCCCCAGTGCTTGGATTACAGGTGTGCACCACCATGCCCAGTCTCTATGGCTGGCTCAGCTCACCTTTGGGGGCTGGGCCGGCACTGCATATGGTGCTTGGTATCAAACCCTGGTCCCTGTGCTTGCCTAAACAGGCACTTAGTCTGCTGAGCTATCTCGCCAGTCACTAGTGGGTTTTCCTTTTACTCTGTTGAAGATTTGCTTTGAAGTGCAGAAACTTTCAAAAAAATGAAATCACAGTTTTTGATTCTTCGAAGTATTTCCCATGTAGTTTGGTTTTGTTCATGAACTCTCTAGCTAACTCTGTCCTCTCCATAAGACTTAGTGTCTCTGTTTTAATATTCAAATCTTTAATCCATTTTGACCATAGTTTTGTGCATGGTGATAGGCATGGGTCTAGTTTCAGCCTTTGGTGTGTGGAAAGCCAGTTATTCCAGCAGCATTCATTAAAGAACTTATCTTTCTTCCAGAGAGCAATTTTGGCCCCTTTATGTCTGCATCTTCTAATCTGTTTCATTGATCCTCAGGGCTGTCTCCATGTCAGTACCATGCTGATTTTATCCCAGTAACTTTATAGTATAATTTCAGGTGAGGGATTGTGATACCACCTGCCTTTCCTTTGCTTCCCGGGATTGCTTTTGGTATTTGATATTATGGGTCTTCTCTTGTTCCAAATGATTTTGAGGGAGGTTTTCTCTAGCTCTGTGAACTATTCTAATGGTATTTCAATTGATATTGCATTGAATCTGTATCACAACTTTGGGAGTATGGCCATTTTCACAGTGTTGTTTCTTCCTATCCAGGAGCATGGAATATTTTTCTGTTTTCCCAAATCCTCTTCAATCTCTTTTTTCCAAGTACCATAATTTTCACTGTTTAAATCTTTTACATCCTTGGGCTGGCCTGATAGATCAGGACTAAGGTGCCTGCTTAGGCAGAGGGGTTGGATCCCCTGCGTGCCGTGTCGGCCCTGCCCAAAGGGCACACTGAGACAGCAATTGAGACTGGGCATGGTGATGCGCGCCTGTAATCCCAGCACTTGAGAAGCTGAAAAAGTAGAATCACTAGGAGTCCGATCTATGTAGTGAGACCCTGTACACCCTGAACACCCTCTGTCCTAAATACAGAAAAAAAGAAATCTTTTACATCCTTTGTGAAATTTATTGTCAAGTATCTCATATTTTTGGATGTTATTGTGAAAGGCGTGGCTTCCCTTATTTCTCTATTAGTGTGTTCATTGTTTGTGTACAAAAATGCTACTGATTTTTGGGTGTTGATTTTGTATCCTGCTACATTGCTGAATTTGGTGATTAAATTTACAAGACTCTTGATGGAGTTTTTGGGGTCCTCTACATAGAATATTATGTCATCTGCAAATAATGATAATTTCCCTTCTCTTCCAATCGCTGTTCCTTTTATTTCTCTCTCTTGTCTAATTGCTCTGATTAGTGTTTCTAGAACTGTATTTAACAGAAATGGAGACAGTGGACATCCTTGTCTTGTTCCAGATTTCAAAGTGAAGGCCTTCAGTTTTTGTCCATTTAGTGTGGTATTAGCTGTTGGTTTCTCATAGATGGCTTTCATCAGGTTGAAATATATACCATCTATTCCAATTCTCTGTAGGATTTTTATCATGAATAAGTGTTAGACTTTGACAAGAGCTTTTTATGCATCTATGGAAATGATCATGTGGTTTTTATTCTTGGTTCTATTGATGTACTATATTACATTTATGGACTTACGTATGTTGAAGTATTCCTGCATTCCTGGAATGAGTCCTGCTTGGTCATGATGTATAATCTTCTTCATGATTTGCTGCATTCTGTTTGCTAGTATTTTATTGAGGATTTTTGCATCTATATTCTTTAGAAAGTTTGACCTACAGTTCTCTTTTTTAGTTGGATCTTTGTTTTTGGAATCACAGTAATACTTGCCTCCAGGAATGAGTTTGAGAGAATTGCTTCCCTTTCAGTTTCACTGAAGAGT